AAAGTACCTTCTAGTACTCAGTTATCAAACTAAGCTATGAACCCACTACGAACAAGTAGGAAAGTACCTTCTAGTACTCGTTTATCAAACTAAGCTATGAACCCACTACGAACAAGTAGGAAAGTATTTTCAAGTACTCGTTTATCAAACTAAGCTATGAACCCACTACGAACAAGTAGGAAAGTATTTTCAAGTACTCGTTTATCAAACTAAGCTATGACAGTGATTTTTCACTTACGCTAGCCACTTGGTCTGGAGGAACAGCAGTAGATAAGTGAAGAGGAATGCCAGGAATAAAGTAATCGTGAAGAGATTCCATTACTTGTGGTGTCTTGATGGCACCCGACATATCTACGAAACCTGTGGAAATCAAATAACGATTTAAAGTTTACTGAATAACGTTCACTTAGTAAGTCAATTACTTCTGGGGAGGGGTGGGAAAGAACAAGTTGAGAGAAGAAATTTTCACCTTATTTCGGGGGTAAAATAAACTCTCAAAATTTCGTGCTCTTCTTGTAAGAAGGCAGTTTGTTCCTTTTGAAAATTCGTGTTAAGCCGTTCCTAATTTTGAGCTGACGGGCTAGAGGAAAGGCAGCTAGCCAACAACAATGACCGCAACTCTTGGGCTACTCTAATCAAAGGGTGGGATTTGACCGTCACTCTTATAATGCACCCACGGCTCAAAGATGCGAAACACTATTTTACAGCAACGGGACCATCGGATTCACTGTTTGTCAGCTGGATGAGTTACATACACTGAAAACAATTATTTCCTCATTCTTAAAACAAAATATAAAACGTTTTAACACTTGTTGATCCAGTCAAGTTACTGTATAATAGCATCTCGAAAACGTTACTTTGGAGAGTATAGTTACAGCAGTTGTTATCTGTTCTAGAGCAAGGTTATCTGCTGTGTCCACCCCGAGGAACAGAACCCTGGATATTATCTCGAAAACCTTACATTGGAGAGTATAGTTACAGCTGTTGTTATCTGTTCTAGAGCAAGGTTATCTGCTGTGTCCACCCCGAGGAACAGAACCCTGGATATTATCTCGAAAACCTTACTTTGGAGAGCATAGTTACAGCAGTTGTTATCTGTTCTAGAGCAAGGTTATCTGCTGTGTCCACCCCGAGGAACAGAACCCTGGATATTATCTCGAAAACCTTACATTGGAGAGTATAGTTACAGCAGTTGTTATCTGTTCTAGAGCAAGGTTATCTGCTGTGTCCACCCCGAGGAACAGAACCCTGGATATTATCTCGAAAACCTTACTTTGGAGAGTATAGTTACAGCAGTTGTTATCTGTTCAAGAGCAAGGTTATCTGCTGTGTCCACCCCGAGGAACAGAACCCTGGATATTAGCGTTAAAATTCCATAAACTTACCGCTGTCCCATCGGGAGGTGGAGAGGGAGTTACAATATATAATAAAAATATCGTCTCTATATGCTTGCACCCCATTAACACTGCCCTATCGGGGTGGGGTGGGAGTTACAATATAATATAATTTTGTTCTCCTGAAGAAGAATAGTCAACTATTCGAAAGCGCTCGAGTTGTGGGTCTTATTTTAAGTGAATTACACTTTATATGTGATCCTTTGTGCTAACCCTTTTATCAAAAAAAATATATAATAACAAAATTATCATTGTCTCTATATACTTGCACCCCATCGCCGCTGCCCCATCTGGGGGTGGGGGAGTTACAATATATAATAAACAAATTATCATTGTCTCCATATACTTGCACCCCATTACCGCTGCCCCATCTGGGGGTGGGGGAGTTACAATATATAATAAACAAATTATCATTGTCTCCATATACTTGCACCCCATTACCGCTGCCCCATCTGAGGGTGGGGAAGTTACAATATATAATAAACAACTTATCATTGTCTCCATATGTGTAAAGAACATTTTACAGAAAGTCTTAAATTATTTTCAGTATTCTGTCTCTAGAGAACCTGCTTGCCTATCGATAATGTTTATTTTTGGGTTAAGCTCACACGTTTTGTGATATTCCGTTTAACACGTAGAAAATATTCACACAAAATCAATGTTCAATTTCTGGCGTTAGTGTTTCAAAAGAAAATGAGGACAAAAATAATAGGACAGATAATAAAAGTGGTGTGTGTTTATATAAACACACTGCTAAGTTAAACACGTACGTTTTCTGCTCCACAGTACAAAAATAATCTTATTAAACTAACCTATGACTAGAGACGAATTTTCCTGTTTAACCGAACACGTCGTTCCTGACTGCAGAATAGGGAACAGTTCAGTAAGCTGTTTCACTGCTGCCCCCTCGTGGCCACAGCTGTCGAATACTTTCAATCCTAGAATAAAATATACCTATATATATACATAGCTATATATATACATAGCTATTAAAGAGCTGCGTGAAAAACTGATAGTTTTAAAACCTCCCGCCTTAAATATGAACAAAACAGAAATATTTTCATTTATTCATTTAAATTTGATTTATTTATTTTATCATTATTATTGTTACGAATGTAAGTACACTCGTGTGAAGTTATCAGTAGAAGTTCAAATGTATATAATTATGTTGGTAAACAGGTTACAAACTCCATAAACAAAAGCCTAACGAATCAGCACAAAAAATACACGCATTTTATTATACAGCATGAACATCTGAAGAGCAATTTCACGAGAAATTATCCAAGTTAACGTTTCTCGAGCAATGATGCCAATAGTAATAACTTTCTTTGTCGGTAACTTTTGAGATATATATTATGAATAATCCAAGAATTGTAATCTGTAAATTCATTCAAACGTAATGCCAAAAATTCCTACGGGAATTACAGCTGAAATAGTGAAAGATTAGCACAAGCCTGGTTTTCGTTTTGTTTTTAATGTCTAGCTACGTATACCACGAGTTTACAAGACCAAAGAAAACTGTAAAAAACAACGTATTAAATGAGCTTATTGACCTGTAACGCGTCCTTTTTTTAAGTTCCTTCTTTTCGAGCTGGACCTGGTGAGTCATGTCGAAATCAAGAACGTGATCGGTTATTTCACAAACTAACAAGTTCTCCGATTTTGTAACTCATCTAGTTGATCTTACGCTTCAATTATGGAACGATACTATTGTTTAGATATTTGAAGTTTCTGAATTTTTAATGAACGTAAAAGTCAACGAGTCTTCTAAAACTAAATCCAGCGAAACAAGTCACATTTCTTTACTACATTTTTAAACAGTTGAAACAAGTGTAGAAAAAAGCAGAACCGACAAGCATAAAACTTTAGTTTCTAGTTTTATATATATTTTGTTTGTTTTATTTACTAACGAATTGAAAATATTTCCACAAAACTTCCACATCACTCTCTCTGTTAACATTCATCTACTAAGGTCTTTGTTAACAGGGTGTTAACAAAGACATTAGTAGATGAATTATGGAAAAATATCAAACTTTACAAGATCCTGCTTTTCCAAATATTCCCCTTTTGATATTCTTGTGAAAAAATAAGAGATTATCTTATTAAAATTATTTGATTAATAAACTTAAAACCACATTTAAATGTTATATATTTTAACACACAGAAGGAGTTTAAAACATTTATAAGTCTTTAAGGTCAAAAAATGCGGGAAGTTTTTCGTTGTTAGGAGGGTCTTATGAGCGAGAACCTAATTTTAGAAACTGAATAGCATCCTAAAAATATAAATACCAGTTTCATGTGTGTTATAATTAACAATAATAGAGGTTTTTTATGTTATTTTATTTATGTTTATACATGCTCATAAAAGTGTCAAAACTCGTCAATAGATGGCAACACAAACTATTTATGCATCAAATTATGGCAACCAAAAACAAAAAACAAAAAAAGAGCGAAAAGCCGCTTGCAATGTATGATACTATAGTGATCCAGAGGAAGTAGTCCTGAAGATGATTCTTTGGGCTGATTTTTGCCCAGAATTCATTAAGAAAAGAAAGAAAAGGTACTCGGGACCAGTGCTGTTTAACGCACAGATAAAGATGAATCACGTTTTCTTATAACCAAAACTGCAACTTCAATCAAATTAAACATTTTTATACTCATTACACACTTCAGACATTGTTAAAAAGAGAAAAAAAAAGATTTATGAAACTGTATGTTTATATATTTATATAGAATCATATGTGGTGAACAAACTATCATTAAAGTCACAACAAAATTGTTTGTTTTAGAGCAAAGCCACATTGGGCAATTTTTTGTATCAACCGCTGGGAATCCAACCCCGGATTTTAGCGTTTTAAGTCTGTAGACTTGCCGATGTCCCACCGGTGGACAAGTCACAACAAATTAGTTAATTTTAACAGTGTTAGTTAAAAATTCAGATATTTTCTTTACGAAGTCAGATTGGTCATATACATTTTTTGAAACTTTATTCACATAACTTTCTGTTGATGACGACAAAATATAAATATAACAGTTGAATTTGGTGATGGCGTTCGGTACTAACGGCACCAAGAAGATGTCGCCCAAAATAACACAGTGGTGATATTAAAAACAGAAACGTTTATCAAACAATTTTTATATTTTTCTCAAGCTGCATTACTGCTGGCGCAATTTTTTTCGGGAATCTTTGGTGATAATCAATTAGAAAATTCAGTTTTATTGACTTATATATTGGTAAAATTTTATATTTATTTATACAATTCAAATTGTATCAGTGTGTAGCATGTGCTGTATTTATATTTTACCTCAGAAAATTTGACAATAATATCTTTCATAATGCTACAATCGAGGATTAGGAGTATTCGAACCAGGGAACTGAATAAAAATAACCTTTTATTTGTCACATTAAGGTATTGCAACATAACCCTCTGTTACTCACCAAATTTCACCCCCGGGATGAATGATTCCCCAACAGGTTGGTCATGAATCACTCCGCTATTCTGGTTCAACACTGACACGGTCCATCGTAAGGCCTCGAATACTTCGACGCCCTCTGCCGTTGGTGGGCCACAACCATATATACCTTTGCCTGGAGAATGGATGTTGAGAATAGCACCTATTGTAACGTCTGCATCTGGTGTTACTTCAACGTAATGCTTAGATCCAACACACGTGTCCCATGTTAAGCCTCGAGCATGGCATAATATGTGTGCCAAAAGTAGCAAGATACCAAGTAGTGTGTCCATCTTTCCAAAAAATCCTAAAAAAACAAACAAAGTTGTAATAATTGCGTATAAAATAATTCTAATATTCAACAGCATTATCCCAATTATCGGATCTAACTAGATGTTAGAACAGTAAATTAGAAACGTAAAATACATACAGGTAGACTGTTCATTGTAAACAGTTATATATCTTTAAGTTACGCATCCTCACGTCCTGTCACAAAATCGACTACATTTTTAACATCTCCGGCATGTCACTAAAGTTTTGAAAAAAAAAAACACCGACAAAACAAAAATACATTTATTAAGAATAAAGTCCAACGTGGGGATCTTTTCTGTTTTTATTTAATGGCTCATAATAAAATAGAAATGACCTAAACAGTAGTGTGTATGCCCTTTAAAGTAAGGTTCTCGTTTATATTAGAAAGTAACAACCGATGTCGGAGTCCGTATTGACAAAATGATCACTGTTAAAGTAAGGCCAAATCTTATTAAATCTTAGTTATAAGTATATTTATTATCATAAAGTAAAAGCTGAGACCTAACGTCGAACTGACACAATAAGAACTGTAAGTAGTAAGGTTTCAAATGGACCGATAAATAAGGTTTCATATCATACACTGTTAACCTAACAAGTCTCCATTTTGATGGCATGTATAATTGAAAGTAGCTTTCTAAGATAACGTATGACTATGAATCAACAGACAAAGGTCTTGATTTAAAGACATCACCGATTAGAGCGATCAAATTGAATATGTTACAGGTGGAAGGAGGTGATGATATCAGTCCTGCACCAATACCAAGATACAGGTGTATTACAGTGCCTCATTATTAAATACCTATTCTATTCGTTTGTAATTAAGCACAAAGCTACACAATGGGTTATCTGTGTTCTGCCCACCACGGGTATCAAAACCCGGTTTCTAGCGTTTTAAGTCCGCAGACATGCCGCTGTGCCACTGGGTGGGGGGGGGCGATAAAATAGCTAATTATATACACAAGTCTCAATGTTGTCAGGACAAACTCACGTGGCTGATAAACCCAAAGTTTATATGTTTCGGGTTTCTATCTTGTACAGAATTTAAGTTTTAATTTTTGTATCTCTAACATTCGACATCGGATTACACAATGTATCCTGTCTTTGTTTTTGAGTAGCAAGCGTCCACAGCCTTTACCAAAAACTAACAGTATTTCTGTTGAGTTTCTCTCATACAGACCCTTATAGTAACTCTTCTGTGACACATAAGATCCTTGTTACCATGTATATGGTAATCTCATAAGACGCTTGTTACCATGTATATGGTAATCTCATAAGACCCTTTCTTGTTACTATATATATATATATATGTGTGTGTGTGTGTTCATTTCATAAGACCCTTGTTACTATATATGTAGTCAGTTCATAAGACCGTTGTTACTATATATGTAGTCAGTTCATAAGACCCTTGTTACTATACATGTAGTCAGTTCATAAGACCCTTGTTACTATACATGTAGTCAGTTCATAAGACCCTTGTTACTATATATGGTCAGTTCATAAGACCCTTGTTACTATATATGGTCAGTTCATAAGACCCTTGTTACTATATATGTAGTCAGTTCATAAGACCCTTGTTACTATATATAATATATATATATATATATGGTCAGTTCATAAGACCCTTGTTACTATAAATGGCAGGCTGAAATCTCAAGCATGAATTTTTGTTCGTTTAAATGACGTATTTTTGTTACTCGGAAATTTTAAAAACAAAATCACACAATTTAACGTAATTATCAACGTAATATATTAAGCCTATTTCTATTAAAAATGAATCCAACCCTTTCGATCGAATGCGCCCCCTCTGAAACAGGCAGTGATTGTCACCGCATAATAACACTGTCGTCATAGTTACCTTACTCCGATAATACAAGTTGCTTCCCATTGATCGATGCTAAGTTTTTAATTTTTCACATCGGGCACAGAAAACTAAA